TCCCCCCCCCTCAGTGGTCGAGAAAGCCCTCAACCATGTCTCCCGCAACTCATCCCTCTCACCCCGTCCACGCAATAAGAACCAAAAAAGAATCCCCTTCGTCCTCACGTACCACCCCACCAACCTCTGGATCCAACGCATCATCCTCCGACACTTCTGCTATCTGCAATCCGACCCCACCACCAAAGACATCTTTCCCTCCCCACCCTTATCTGCTTTCCAGAGGGACCACTCTCTCCGTGACTCCCTTGTCCGCTCCACACTCCCCTCCAGCCCCACCACACCCGGCACTTTTCCCTGCAACCGCAGATGTTCACCTGCACATCTGCCAATGTGGTATACTGCATCCGCTGTAGCCGGTGTGGCTTCCTCTACATCGGGGAAACCAAGCGGAGGCTTGGGGACCGCTTTGCAGAACACCTACGCTCGGTTCGCAATAAACAACTGCACCTCCCAGTCGCGAACCATTTCAACTCCCCCCCATTCCTCAGACGACATGTCCATCCTGGGCCTCCTGCAGTGCCACAACGATGCCACCCGAAGGTTGCAGGAACAGCAACTCCTATTCCGCTTGGGAACCCTGCAGCCCAATGGTATCAATGTGGATTTCACAAGCTTCAAAATCTCCCCTCCCCCTACCGCATCCCAAAACCAGTCCAGCTCGTCCCTGCCTCCCTAACCTGTTGTTCCTCCCACCTATCCCCTCCCTGACTCCCCACCTGCACTCACCTTTACTGGCTCCATCCCCGCCTCTTCGACCTGTTTGTTTCCTCTCCACCTATCCTCTCCTCTATCCATCTTCTATCCGCCTCCCACTCTCTCTATTTATTTCGGAACCCCCTTCCCCTCCCCCTTTTCTGATGAAGGGTCTCGGCCTGAAACGTCAGCCTTTCTGCTCCTATGATGCTGTTTGGCCTGCTGTGTTCATCCAGCCCTGCACCTTGTTGTCTCGCTTTCTCCAGCATCTGCAGTTCCTGCTATCTCAGTATCGAATATATAGTTTGGTGGGTTTGATTAATATGTATCAAACTGTTTCATTGAGAAGAAGGCAGCGTTAACATAGGACGAGTGTGCGTTTCTGTAATGTTGCTGTGTCGTTTTGCCTGAAAGAAAACAGTTTTCCAATTTATGTCTGCCTTTATCTGGCATAGTGTTTTCTCAATCACCTTTGAAATACTTTAAGTGGCACATATAGAGGCACAATCAAAAAACCTGGATGTCTTGTTCAGATAACAGTGGGCTGCTATTGTTTCGCACATGTTTTACGTTATTGAAAAGTGAAATATTCAGCTATACCAACATACTGAAGAACATAAGATAGTCGGACTTCATGCAGGGGAAATTACCATTACTATAGTTGAGATTAAGACAGACTCCTAAGCTTGTTTTGAGCAATATTTTTAAAGACTGGCTTATCGAAGTCAGATAAGGGTTGGTACGAGCTGAGAGTTTTACTTCTACTAGGTTTTGCACATGCTTTTTCATGGATGGTCTAGTGAACTATTAGGATCAATCAACATCATGCATAAAGCAAAGACAATGCAGTGGTGCTGTTTTTAATTAGTAAAGCACATCAGATGATTGATATTTCTGGTGAAAGTTTCCCTAACCCAGCTGGCAGGGTCCTCTTTATCTGTTAAAATATTTGTTATATTGTCTGAGGGCATTCCAGAGCCTTGACATTCATTTATGCTGTGAAAGTTGTGCAAATTCTAATTGTTTTTCTCCCAGACATTTGGTCAAATTCTTTTACTAATAAAAAAAAATTGCAATTTTGAAAAGTAGTACAAAAAAGCCTCTGAAATGCTGGTCGTCTACATCAGAAAATAAAGATAGGGTCTTCTGTATAAAGGTGTTCATCACAGTGGAAATTTATCTGATAAATTTTAACCAATTTTATGAAAGAATGTTTAAAACCTGAAAATTCTGAGATCGTGTTGAGAATGTTTTTGATGTGCTCATCTTCTGTGATGCTTTGTTCACAATTTGTTCCATCTCCTTCTTTTATTTCAAACAGTACTAAAGTTGGGCCCTGAAGCATTCAAATTTGATGGTGGAACAGAGGCAGTGGCACTGAGGCAAAATGAGAAGTACTACATCCTCCGTCCAGAAGTGATAGAAACATACTGGTACATGTGGAGATTCACGCATGACCCCAAGTATAGACAGTGGGGCTGGGAAGCAGCTCAGGTGAGAAGTGCGTAATGTCAAAATGGAGGCAGAATAATTATTGGGTGACACTGACTTTATAAAGTACCACTCAAGAATGTAATTTTGGTGCATTAATACCTCCCACTTTGCATAAAAATTGGGATATAACTGCACTCATCTGTATGGGCCAGTAATTGGCTAAATGTACAAGAGTTGCACTAATTGCATAGCTCCCTCGAAGCATAATGCCTATGGTCTGTTGTGACTTCATGGTTTATAGTGTCATTTCGCACGGAAACAGCACCTTCGGTCTGACCAGTCCATACCGAGCATAATCCCAAACTAAACTAGCCCCACCTGCCTGCTGTTGGCTCATATCCCTCCAAACTTTCCTATTCATGTACTTATCAAAATGTCTTTTAAGCATTGTCAATACGGTGTGAAGTTGGCAGAACACAGCAGGTCAGGCAGCATCAGAGGAGCAGGAGAGTCAACATTTCGATGATGAAGGGTCCCGCCCCGAAATGTCAACTCTCCTGTTCCTCTAATGCTGCCTGACCTGCTGTGTTCCTCTGACTCCAGCATCTGCAGTACTTGCTGTCTCCGAGTCTTTTAATCGTTGTAATTATAGCCACATACACCGCTTCCTCAGGAAGTTCATTCCACATGCAAATCACCCTCTGTGTGAAAGATTTGCCCCAGTGTCTTTTTTTAAATCTTTCTCCTCTCACCTTAAAAATGTGGCCCCGAGTCTTGAAATTCCCCATCTCAGGGAAAAGACATCTACTACAAACTCTATCTATACTCCTCATTATTTTATAAACTTCTGTAAAGTCGACTGTCAACCTCCTACACTCCAGTGGAAAAAGTCCCAGCCTTTCTTCATAACTCAAATCTTCTATACCCGGCAACATCCTGGTAAATCTCTTCTGAACACACCCCCCCACCCCGCTCCCCCAGCCTGATAATATCTTTCCTAGAACTGGACACAGTATTCCAGAAGAGGCCTCACCAAAGTTCTGTACAACCTCAACATGACTTTGCAACTCCTGTACTCAAAGGACTGAGCAATGAAGGCAAGCGTGCCAAATGTGTTTTTAACCACCCTGTCTATATGTGATGCAAACTTCAAAGATTTATACTCCTGCACCCCTAGGTCTCTCTGTTCCACAGCACTGTCAAGGCCCTATCATTAATTGTATAAGCCCTACCCTCCTTGTTGCAAAATGCAACACCTTGCAATTATCCAGATTGAACTCCATCTGCCATCTTTCAGCCCATTGACCCACTTGATCAAGATCCTTTCATAATCTTAGGAAACCTTCTTCACTGTTGACAATGCCACCATTTCTTGCTGCACTATAGAACCACCTTGTTCATATGAGTCATTTATATTGTCAAACTTATTACACTGCTCCCTCACGTTCATTCTTCCTCTCACTCCTGCACTTTCCCTTGGTTCATTGTAGGATGTACTATCTACACAAACTTGCACTTCTTAAAAGCCTTTTGGGATGACAGAGCCTACACCTTGTAGTTGACTCTTTTTTGTGGGAGCTTATAACCTAAGGAATAAGTACCTTGTTAATGACTTTTTACATTTGCATATTCAGTCACTTTGTTGATTATAAGACATTAGCTTTTTGAAGTAAGCATGTTCTTCAGTTGGATTACTTTCAAAGTGCAGATTTTAGAATCAAAAGTGGTGAAAAAGCACTTGTGCTTTTTTAACAACAGAAAAAACACACCCTTGGAATAAATCCACCCTCCATTTTCTAAAATTCCTAACTTCCCCTCTTTCTTGCACCATTGTCAGATTCTGAATTGCAAAACCATTCTTCAGGAACACAGCTTTTTAAAGTGCAAGTAGAAACCTATTCTGGTCCAGTAGTGACAAAGATATCATAGAACAGTAATCAATGTCGGAGCAAGTATCTGCTTTTCCAAAGGGGAAAAGAAACAACATGTCCAACAAGTGAATAAATCAGCATTGCGTCACAGGGCCAATTTTAGTTGCTAAACAATGGCTGCTGCTGTAGATAAATGCAACTCCTTTGTCTTCAAAATGTAGCTGTATTGGCTTGAAGATAAGTCAATAACAAATGACATATATCTTGCAGACGTTTGAGGTGCTGCAAACTTCGCCATCGTGATTAAAATTATTTTAAGTTTACTGTGTTGTGACAGAAAAGGCATTAACTTGTGACATTATTAATTAAAGAGCTTCATTTTCAGAGCAAGCAATACTCAAAAAGGCTACAGCACAGCTCATGATCTGCATTGATCCTTTCATATTTGATGATATCTGGAAACAAGACCATCTCTGACTTCAGAAACAATGGAACCTTTGCAGTTATTTTGATTTTAGTTTGTGTTCTTATGAACAAACCAAGCTTGAACTGTAATGTATTAAGTATATACTGAGCATTGTCCCTACGAAACAATGATAAATTGTTTATACTATTCGTTTATTAGTACAGATGAGACATACTTAGAGTCAGTCGTAGAATTATCCAACATAGAAACTGACCCTTTGGTCCAACTCGTCTATGCTGATCAGATACCCTAAATTAATCTAGTTCCATTTGTCAGTATTTGGCCCATATCCCTCTAAACCCTTCCTATTCACGTACTGATCCAGGTGTCTTTTAAATGTTTCAGTTGTACTTGCCTCTATCACTTCCTCTGCCAGCTCATTCCATACACGCACCATCCTCTGCATGAAAAAGTTGCCCCTTAGGTCCCTTTTAAATCATTCCCCTCTCACGTTAAACCTGTGCCCTCTAATTTTGGACACCCCTACCCTGGGAAAAAGACCTTGGCTATTCACCCTATCCATGCCCCTCATGATTTTATAAACCTCTATAAGGTCACCCCTCAGCCTCTGACACTCCAGAGAAAAAAGCCCCGGCCTATTCAGCCTCTCCCTATAGGTCAAACCCTCCAAACCTGGCAACGTGCTTGTGAATCTTTTCCGGAACCTATCAAGTTTCACACCATCTTTTCTATAGCAAGTAAGCCAGAGGTGAACGCAGTATCTCAGAAGTGGCCTAACCAATGTCCTGTACAGCTGCAACATGACCTCCCAACTCCTATACTCAGTTGGAAGAAATATTATAGCTTCACTATATTAGTGAACTTTTCGCAGCAATTTATAAACATTGCAGGCAGCTTTTCCTCCAAAACTAAAATTTAATTATAACTCAGGCAGTTGAAGTTTACTTAAACTTCTTCAATTAGCAGTTAAGTTGAATTCATAATTATAAAATTAATTACAATTATTCCGATATGATAAAGATAATTGATCCTTTTTAATGATTTACAAGAATGTTAAGACTGAATTGTGTTTCTAATGAAAGAATGTTTAATATGCTCACAATGACTGGTTTTTTAGAGAAACATTGTTACAATTTCTTGCCAGTTGTTCTAATATGATCCTGGATTTGTTTATAGTGAATACATGGTTCATTTCTAGCTCCTAGCCAGCAGAGGCTTTTAGTTGATACAATACATCCTATTACAGCAAACATCTTTTAAAAAAAAATGTAAAGCAAGTGTCTAACGGTCTTTTGATGAGTGTGCTTCTATTTTCAGGCTATTGACAAGTATTGCAGGGTAATCGGGGGATTTTCAGGTGTTAAAGATGTCTATTCTTCATCTCCAACCTATGATGACGTGCAACAAAGTTTCTTCTTGGCTGAAACATTAAAGTAAGCAACTTAGTCTTTTCTTTTGTCCCCCATGACTTGTTGCAGAGGACTTTTTAACAGTATTGTGGGTGTAACTAGTGCCATACAGTCATAGATAGATCTAGTGGTTCAAGAAGACAGCTTACTACCATGTTCTGATGGACAACAAATGTAGTCCGTCCCATCCCATGAAATAATAAAACAAAAGCTCCCAACCAACATTATTAAAAACCTATTTCTGTTTTCTTCTTTAGATCTTGGAGATACAGTGATATGTTTGCTATTAGCTAATGCTCTTTTTTTGGTTATCTGGATCACTGGATCAAGGAGCCAACTAGAGGACATATATACTGGGTATTGTTTAATGAGAAAGGAATAATTGGCAGTCTAGCTGTATGAGGATCCCTGGGGAAGTGTGACCATAATATGATAGAATTCTTCATTAACGAGTGACACAGTTGATTCTGAGACTAGGGCCCTGAATATAAATAGAGGAGACTGGTGGTATGAAGTGTGAGCTGGCAACGATAGATTAGGGAGGATAATTTAAAGGAATTTTAGTGGATAGGAAACATTTAAACAGTGTATGGAGGAATTGCAACAACCGTTCATTCCTGTCTGTAACAAAAATAAAACCAGAAAGGTGGTCCAGCCACAGCTAACAAGGGAAATTAGGGACAGTGTTCGATTCAAGGAACAGGTATACAGATTGGTCAAAAAGAGCAGCAGACCTGCGGATTAGGAGCAGTTTAGATTTTAACAAAAGAAGACAAAGCACTTGTTAAAAAGGGCAAATAGAGTACGAGAGTAAGCGTGTGAAGAGCGAACAAACTGATTGTAAATGTTTCCATAGGTATGTGTAGAGAAAAAGATCAGTGAAGACAAATGTATCATTTTTGCAGTCAGATTTAGGGGAAGTTATACTGGGGAACAAAGAGATAGCAGACCAATTAAATATATATAATTTGTTCTGCATTCACAAAAGAGGCCACAAATGATGTCCCAAAAACATTGGGGAACACGGTCTAGTGAGAGAGAAGAACTCCATAAAAGCTATATTAGTATGGAAATGGTTTTGGGGAAACTGATGAGATTAAAGACTGATAGATCCTCGGGGTGGATAATCTCCACCCCAGAGTATTTTAAGGAAGTGACCCTTGCAATAGTGGTTGCATTGGTGATCATCTTTCAAGATTCTCATAGACTGTGTTCCTGTAGATTAGAAGTGTCTAATGCAACCTCACAATTTTAAAAAAGGAGGTAGAGAGAAAGCAGGGAATTATAGCCCAGTTAGCCTGACATTGGTGGTGGGGAAGATGCACGAGTCCATCATAAAAGATTAATTAGCAAAACACTTAAAAGGAAACATGCAGGATTGGACATAGTCAACATGCATTTATGAAGAGGAAATCATACTTCATAAATCTATTAGAATTTTTGAAGGATGTAACCAGTGGAGTTGGTAAGTGGAGGTCCATTTTACTTGATCTTTCAGAAGGCATTTGATAAGGCCCTACATAAGAGATTAGCGTGTCAAAATGCATGAGATTAAGGGTAGTGTACTGACATGTATAGAGAAATGGTTGGCAGACTGAAAAGAAAGAGAAGGAATAAATGGGTAATCTTCTGAGTGGCATCGAGTGACTAGCAGAGTACCGCAGGGATCAGCACTTGGATCCCAGATAGTCACAATATGTATTATTGATTGAGGTAAAGGAACTGAATGTAATAGCGGAGATAAATAGGAACTGCAGATGCTGGAGAATCTGAGATAACAAGGTGTAGAGCTGGATGAACACAGCAGGCCAAGCAGCATCATAGGAGCAGGAAGGCTGACGTTTCGGGCCTAGACCCTTCATCAGAATGTAATAGCTCCAGATTTGCAGACAGCACAAAGCTGGTTATGAGGGTGAACTTTAAGGAGGATCCCACAATGCTTCACTGTGATTTGGATAAGTTGAGTGAGTAGTTTTATGCATGGCAGATGAAATAGGATGTATTTGATTTATTATTGTGACATGTACCTAGGTACATTGAAAAGATTTGTTTTGTGTGTAGTGCAGGCAGATCACACCATACGAAGTGCAATAATAGAACAGTGAACACGGCTGCAGAGAAGGTGCACAAAGAGAGAGGTCAACATTAAATTTGAAAGGTCCATTCAGAAATCTGACAACAGCAGGGAAGAAGCTGTTCTTGAATCTGTTGGTCTTTGTATGTCAGGTTTTGTATCTTCTGCCCAACGGAAGACTTTGGAAGAGATTATAACCAGAGTAGGAGGGTTGGTTATGTTGGCTACTTTTCCGAGGCAGTGAGAAGTACGGATGGAATCAGTGGATGGAAGGTTGGATGTCCAATGTGAAGTTATCTACTCTGGTGGCAAAACAGAAACGCAGATTATTATCTGAATGGCGATAGCCTCAAAAATGGGGAGGTGAAATGAGACCAGAGTATTCTTGTACAGCAGTCGCAGAAAATTCATGCAGGTGTAGGAGGTGGTGAAGAAATGAATGGTATGTTGGACTTCATAGCAGGAAGATTTGAGTGCAGAAACATGGATGTCTTGCTGCAGTTGTGAATGGCCTTGGGGAGATCACACCTGGAATACTGTGTGCAGTTTTGGCCTCCTTATCTAAGGAAGATGCTCTTGTTATGGAGGGATTGCAATAGAGGTTTACCACACTGATTCCTAGGATGGCAGTATCAAGAGAGACATTGATTAGGACTATATTCACTGGCATTTAGAAGAACAAGGGGTAATTTCAAAAACCTGTAAAAATCTAACAGGACTAGCACTGTAAACACAGGAAGGGTGCTTCCGATAATCACGGAATCTAGAACCAGGGATCTCAATCTAAGGATGTGGGGTAGGCCATTTAGGACTGAGAAGGGGAGGAATTTCTTCACCCAGAGAGCAGTGAGCTTGTGGAATTCTCTGCCAGAGAAAGCGGTTGAGGCCAAACATTGAATATTTTCAAGGAGATAGTTCAAGTTCTTAGGGCTAAAGAGATCAAAGGATGTGGACAAAAAGTGGGAAGATGATACAGAGTTGGATGATCAACGATGATCATATTGAATGTTACAGCAAGCTTGCAGGGCTGAATGGCCTATTCCTCCTCTTTTCTATGTTTCTGTGCAATTATTTTCTACTTCATACTGATTTGTAGAGCAACAATAATTTTAATATACCCAGATACAATTGCGAAGTGAAATTGTCTGAACAAATTTTTCATCATTTTAAGTAATTATCAATAAAGCATAAATAATTCAACCAAGCGGCCTCTTTAAAAAAAATCAAATTGTTAAAGTGCACGATAATTTGGAATTCAGTGTGTCTTCACTGACACCTGTATATTCAGACTTGTTGCAGCCAAATAAATGATGTGAAAGGGCAATGCCTGTTTTATAGTCATGTTGCAACCTAAGTACAATATAAATGCTGAATGAAGACTTCATGGAGTATGATTATGATTTGAATATGATTGAGGCACTGCATTTTCAGTCCTGGAGAAGTTATTTTTAAAAGTTGAAGTACTGTCTCGCTTACTTGTAAATGGGATGTGACAGTCCTAGTTCGACCTGCATTTATTGCCCATCCTAAATTATTCTTGAGAAGGTGATGGTGAGCCACCATCTTGAACTGCTGCAATCCAAGTACTGTGGGTACACCTACAGCGCTGTTAGCATGAAATATTTCAAGATCTTGACCCTGCAACACTTCTTTGCTTTCACTCTTTTATATTTTCAAATGCTAGGAAAAGCATATTCCAGTTGTATGTAAACAAAAAAACAAAGAACTGTGGATGAAACAAAAACAGAATTTACTGGAGAACCTCAGCAGCATCTGTGGAGAGAAAGTAGACCCCACGTTTTGGGTCTTCAAGGGTCACTGCATCCTAGACATTAACTCCACTTTCTATCCACAGGCGCTGCCAGACCCGCTGAGGGTCTCCAGTAATTTCCATTTTTGGTATGGTTATTCATGTTCATAAATATGTTAGCACCATCTGCTGGTCACTAGATGTTACATAATTAAAAAATACTGAGTTCTGTTTTGATGTGCACACAGTTAGCAAAGGTGGTTGGCAAAGTTGTTCATTGTTATATGATAGAGTCATAAAATCGTAGAGCTGTTCAGAGTGGAAACAGACCCTTTGATCAATTCGTCCATGCCAACCAAATGTACTAAATTAAAGTAGTCCCATTTGCCAGCATTTGGCCCATACCCCTCTAAACCTCTCCTATTCATATACCCATCCAGATGCCTTTTAAATGTTGCAGTTGTACCAGCCTCCACCTTTGGCAGCTCCTTCCATGTATTCACCACCCTCTGCGTGAAAAAGTTGCCCCTTATGTCCATTTTAAATCTTTCCCCTCTCACCTTAAACTTGTCCCCTCTAGTTTTGGACTCTGCTACCCTGGGGAAAAGATCTTGGATGTTCACCCTCTATATACCCTTCATGATTTTAAAAACTTCTTTAGGTTTCGCTCAGCCTCTGACACTCGAGTGAAAACAGCCCAGCCTATTCAGCCTATAGCTCAAACCCTCCCACCCTGGCAATATTCTTGTAAATCTTTTCTAAACCTTTTCAAGTTGCACAACATCCTTCCTATAGCAGGGAGACCAGAATTGAACGCAGTATTCCAAAAGTGGCCTAACCAATGTCCAATACAGCCATAACATGACCTCCCAACTCCAATACTCAATGCACTAACCAATAAAGGGAAGCATACCAAACATCACCTTCACTATTCTGTCTACCTGCCACTTTACTTTCAAGGAACTGTGAACCTGCACTGCAAGATCTCTTTGTTCAGCAACACTCCCAAATGTACAAGTCCTGTCCTGATTGCCTTTCCAAAATGCAGCACCTCATATTTATCTAAATTAAACTCCATTCTCCACTCCTCAGCCTATTGGCCCATCTGATCAAGGTCCCGTTGTACTCTGAGGTAACCTTCTTGGCTGTCAACTACACCGCCAATTTTGGTGTCATCGACAAACTTTTATTAACCATACC